GGAAGTATACTAACTTTTCCTCACTGAAGAGGCTACTTGAAAAAAGAATCATCTTCAAGTGATCTTCTCGATGGCGAGTACGTACATTTGCACGCGAAATCTGGATGAGGTACAACACCAAGACTGGTTATAAATTGAACTACTATGGTCCAACTGCAATGGTTCATTTTATTTTTTTCGCTTACCCAAACGCTGGTACTAGTGGGAAGACAGTGACCGGTCCATTCACTCTCTTGAAGAACCATCGCTTTGAATTTTCTGCGTTCAAAAAGTCCTTGTAGTCACAGTTAACGCGTTCGAAACTAGTAACGGTATCCCCTCTTCATCCGCTCTGGCGATTCAGTCAACCGATGATTCGGACAGTTTCAATGGATAATCGACAATCACGTGATTGATCTAAACGATGTCCGAAGTAGAAGAAAGTGCGGTTTTTCATGCCCAATATGATTCATAAGAATAAGTATACGATGCAGCAGGCTCTTGGTTTCTCAGTTAAACACATACAATGTCCAAGTGATAGAATTCATCAGGTGTCTGAATAAGAGTCTAATGACCTGGAGCCATGCCACAATTGACGATTCTGGCGGTAGCAAATCTCAGCAACACCAAAACATAGGAAAGACCACTTTGAAAACAAGGATGATCAAGGTTCGACGGCCAAGTCCTCTAATTCGTTTTCCAAATCTTCTAGATCAGATTGTGCAAAGAGATCCTCATCCACGGCGAGGTCATCTGAAAAACAGAACGAAAAGTTCTGGCGGTTGTAAGTTGAACGGACGATCCTATCAGTCTTGCTGACAGGATAAAGGTTTATTCTACATGACTTCCAAAGTTTACGATTGCCAGGCACCTGCACAATGCTCAAACAAGGGTGAGTATCAGTCCAGGAAGTGGCTGCGTCAATCAGATACCCATTCTGGTGTGGAGCTACAGTAAAAAAAGGGTAAAAATTCAGTCTTCGCCGGCGGTTGCACCCTCAGAGACCATATAGCTTGGTGACGGTGCACCATTCTTACCGGTTGTTCACATCAAAACACAATAGTCGTTAACTAAAGCTCGAGAGTGGGCTAATGGCGAGTTTAATCTAAGCCCAGTGGGAAACACGGATATCCTACGTGACCTGTGTTGTTCAGGTTAGGAATTGATTGGTCTATGCACCAAGAATTGGAGTGATGAACCAATGTCTAGCTAACTTCACACACTTCATGTATGGGTCATTTCTAGTTGACCCTTACGATCTTATGGACAGGGAACGGCGCTCTGACGAAGTTATTTATTGCCCGACACTAATACTTCCTTGTTCAGGTCTGAACACCTTACTCTGACCTTCAAGAGCGTTATTACGCACTTATCAACAGCATTCAAGACCATGCTGGGGAAGTGTGGAACCAAAGCTGCTTCCCCATCGACACTATGATGGCCGGTGGCATTAGAACGGTCCTACCATGACGCTTCCACTTTGCGCTATTGTATTTGATAGCAAGCTACCTCTCACACAGTCACAAAGTCGGGAGATTTCGCTCTCACTCTCTCTCTCGTTGTCGTACAACCATGATTTATTTGGAAGCCTTATTATGGATAGAAGAATTAAGGTGGAAGAAGGGACTAAGTGCTAGTCTACTAAAATCATCCCGAAGTGCGTACACCTCTAAGTACGCGTTCAGGCAATCTGAATAGAAGGTGACAACAAGATTGCCACTGACTAGGTTGGCAACCATATGTTGCAGCGTGTCCAACCAGGCGAAGTGAGCATTACGCGATCCCCACCCTGCAAGGCAAATAGCACCAACAGCTACCAAACGTTTCGCGATTTCTTCTACAACCCAATGCCTTGTCAAGAGTTGATCGTCTCTCTGTTTCCGTCACTCTGAATTGGGCACAGATAATGGCACTCTCTTCGGAAAACAATGGATAGGCATACGCAACACATACGCCGACAACAACCAACACGAGCTATGGTTCTGAGACAACGATTGTCGAAAAACTGAAGACGTTTCAGTTCCGCAGCCATACAGAGAACAGCCCACGCTGTAGTTCAATCCCTTGAGATTCAGTGATACACCAATCTGACGCCATACGTCTCAAATTAGCAAACGTGACCCGGGCCTTGCAGATTCGTGCATTGACCTCATCTGTCACAGTAGAGTCAGAACCAATACGACCTCCAAGATATGTAAAACGCTCCACAACTTCCAGTACCTCTCCCTGGATTTTAAGTGGCGCGTTCAGTGACTGCACGTCCACAAGCATGACCTTACACTTCGTGGGTGCAAAATGCATACCAAAGGACGGGATGACTTTGGTCAGTTCATCCAAGAATACTTGCGGAACGATGTCGTCTGCGTACTTCAGATAGACAAGGTTTTCCTCACAGGTTATTTGAACTCCGGCGTTTCGAAGACCTTCCAGCGTTCGTCTCATTATCTCATCGATCACGAAGTTGACAAGGAGTAGAGAGAGTGGGCATCCCTGACGGACACCCCTTGGTGTACGGAAGTTTTTGGAGAGCTCTCCGTACACTCTCACACGTCCAGGTGCCTGGGATGCAAGGAGCTTATTATGTCCACGAACTTCCGGGGCGTTCCTTGGTGGGCAAGCATGTCAATAAGGAAAGACCAGTCAACCGAGACAAATACGCCTTGTAAATCCAGGAACACTAGAATTGTGGGTAGCTTATACGTATGGCGTTGTTCTAGCACCTGACGAACTGTGATGGTTTGGTCAACGAAATACCTAACAGATACGAATCCCGCTGTTCTCGAGTCAGTGTTTCACAAGCCACCGTAAGGCGACAAAGCACGAGTGACGCCAACAGTCTCGTTACGACCGAGGTCAAGCTGACTCCCCTGTGGTTACCACACTCACTACGAGTCCCTTTTTTTAAAAAAAAATTGGTACATTCAGAGACTCTCCCAAGTTGTCTGGGACAGACTCCTTCACCCAAATACAAGTAAGCAGATCAGACAAGCGCTGACTGAGTAGTTCACCCCCACCTTTGAACAGTGCGGGTGGGGGGTCATCCGGAACAGAGGCTCAGTGCCGCTTGAGAGAACATATGCAGTCGTAAGCCTCCGATGTCGTAGGTGGTTCCACCTACAACGTCCACGGTTCTATGTCAGCGGTGGACTCAGTTGAGAGGCGTTCTCTTTTATTCATGATATTCACTCCATTCCGATCTTTGATGGTTCCGCTGAAAGGTGGTTTCCGGGGACCGGTTGCACCGATCAACCTAAACAGTCTTTGGGCATTACCAGGTTTCCGAGTTTCTTCGGTTTTTTTGGCTTTCTGCGTCCACCACACCTCACGGCCGGTTTGCACGCTCACCTTCACCTGACGTCTGATAACTCGTCGTATCAAGTTATGTTCGGGGCCGGCTGAGATGTTTCTCCGAGATTTAAGCAGCGCCACCGTTCGGTCTGATATCCAGTGCCTGAGTGAACCTGGTGGTGCTGCGCCACAGGCGAGATTTCCAAAACTATGAAATGGGGCGGTGCAAGAACATACTGATCAATCGAATCATCAGGCTTCTGATATCGCTGGAATCGTGTGAAAGTTCCAGTGAGTGACCCATAGGAACCTCTCAGATTTGGATACAAAAGTGTGGATTACTTATTGTTGGCACGTTTGAACGTTAACGTTAGTACTTTTTCAATTACCAGACGTATAGCAATTTGACGTTCCTGCATTCTTGCTAACATACCTAGCGGATGAGCGGAAGATGAAAATATTCAATATTACGACGCAGCAAGAAATACTTCATCACAACACACCCAAACAAGATTAAGGAAGACGATAGCGTTTACAAAGGTACGTGTAAGAAGACCGGCTACCAACTAACGTCAAGCCAATACAAGCCGTTTTGCACCAAATGGTTCTGGTTCAAACTTAAGGATAATCCTCTTCGAAGGTTCAATCTACAAAGCCTGAAATTTTAAAAATAGGTGAACACACTTTTGGCTGTTATCTTCTACGCTGAAGGTGACATTAACAATCCAGAGAGCAACTGAGTATTCGGATTAGTATCGTCAAATCGGATGCACGGTGGCTCAAACTCTCAATTTGGCATACGGGATTCGTATTGGTGGCCAAAATTGGATTAAATGGTTTCAAGTTAGTTTCAGGTTGACGGAAACTCGGGGACTGCGCCTACCTGATGAGCCCCAAGAGGGGCGAAACCGGTCGTGGACTGTCGACGAATTTTCAGCAACCTTATGGGTGGTGCATTACGAATATACATGTTTCGCGATATCTCGAATATCGTAGCGACTGAAACATGAGGCGACCTGGTGCAGCACATTCAGTTGCCTGGAAACATCACAAACGAGAGATTCAGCTGGGTTCTAGGTGAGTCTCTCGCAAAACCAAATTTGTTTGCAAATGAGTGTATTTCGTTGGATCATAATCCGTTTGAAGACTGTTCTTGGTTGCTACTCCCATGACATAATATATTGATTCACTTGAACTCGAAAAAACTCAGTGGTTACGCCTGGAAGCCACTGACCAGATCATCCGCGTTTCGAAATCCAACCTAGCCTCTCGAATGGTCTCATCTAGGGTGGGGCAACTTGGTGGTGTCGCAACTTTCGTGTTACCTTCGGACGGCATGGCAGCTTAGTGATTATTATCCTTCTACATGACTTCGCTGAAAGTTCCACGAAAACTCGAGTGAACAATACTCCATAACCATAAACCACACCACTCCTTTCGAGACACTACTAGTAATGTCTGACCGACAATGAATTGCCGAATCGCAATAAGCACAGGGGATCAGCATGACTCCAGTCGTAACGAAACTCTTGGCGTCCCATGTCTTTCGCCGCCTTATGGCGACTCGATAGCATTAGGCGGAATATCAGATTGGTAACGACTTCGTTGACCAAACCTTCTCGCTCTGCAAGGCGCTAGAACAAAGTTGTACATATTGAAACACTCCTTAATTTTGGCATATTTGGCTTAGTTGAACTATCTGTTATCCTTAAAACTCTTGCTCAGCGGGGAATACGCCAGAAGTTAACCAATATAGTATAATATTTGTTTTTTCCAGACTTTCTGGTGAGTGAGAGTATACGGCGAGCTCCTCAAAAGCTTCCGTATACAAAATGGTGTCCGATAAGGATGTTCACTCCGTCCATTTTTACTTAATTTCGATAGGATAATGAAACGAACGCAGGAATGTCTTCATTACCCTGGTGTTTAAATAGCTGATGATGAAAAACTTGCTGATCTGAAATATGCAGAAATCGTTCTTGTCTTCGAAGCGAAAAAAAGCGCAGCTATCCACGGATGACCCAAACAGTCATCCCGTCCAACAGCATGTGTTCTGCACCCACAAAGTGTAAGATCATGCTCGTGGATATGCAGTCGCTAAACACGCCACTTACGATCCAGGGAGAGGCACTCGAAGTTGTGGAGCGTTTTGCCAACTTGAAAGTCATCTTTGTTCCGAGTGCAGCGTGCACGAATCTTCCACTCCTGAATATCAAGAGCAACGTGTATCACACTATGTATGAGTTGTTTTGCTATATGGCTGTGAGATGTAGCTTATTCGAGCAGCGGAACTGAAACGCATTCAGCTTTTCGACAACCGTTGTCTCAGACCTACAGCTTATCTAGTTTGGTGTCGGCGAATCTGTAGCAAGGAACTTAGAAAACGAGTGATCGGTTGTTGAAATGGATTTTAATCGAAGAATGTATCCAGCACCGAAAAATGCAGTAGTTGGGTCACGTATTGCAAATTCCGATTTATTGGTTGCTGAAAGGGGTGTCCCTTTCCGTATCTGATTTGGTGGCACAAGCAGTCAGATGGTCAGAGGGGTATGAAGGACATGAGGAAAAGTCTGAGTATTACCGATTCAAATCACCATCCACGTGGTCCGCGTAATCCGTGTGCACGGTTGGGTACGTCGCAATATGTGGCTGATGATCGATTGCAACCATGCTATTGTTATAGGTTTCCATCCGAATTGCCTGAATAAGTGCTTGTAGGTGTGGGCACCCGGAAATGACTGTAGTAAGCTGGAACCAAGCCCCCTGCCCATCAACTTTTATTCTTTTCTTCACAATAAGGCTTTCCAATAAGTTATGGCTATTACGACAGCGAAGCAACAGTGTTCAACATCTATGTTATGTTGTCAATGATCATGATAACGAAAGTCAATTTATGGGGCTTCGTATCGCACACACTGATCTGCACCGCAGTCAGAAAATACCATTTCTAGTGTAATGCAAGAAAACTGAGCATCAGGCCCAGAAACAACTCATTAGTTAGACTGGCCACAGTCACAAGTGAACCGCAACGAACAAATATAAAATTGCTGCCTTGAAACAATAATGAGCTAGAGAAACAGGCTGACAAATACAACATGGCGACCAAATTTCACACGTACTTTGATTGCAAATTCCATTGCTAGGACCAGGTGCAGCGCATGCACCAAGTATCTCCACTTCGCCACCTAGAAGATGGGAGGAGATACAAAAAAGATATATAGGATCTACAAGGCTATTTGGTTCTTGAGTTAAAACGATCCAGTTTCATACAGCGTATCACATCCTCATGACAGGGGGGACACTAGCATTCAACTATTGCTGTCAGTAGGAAAGACGGAGACGCAAAAATCGTGTGTGAAGAACCAGCCGAAATTATGGAAGCGACGATTTTTACATACAAATATCAAAAAGGAGTGGGTTATAGATAGGCAGACCTTTCAGACAATGAGCTCATGAAGCGAGGGGCCGAGATAACTCAATTGTTAGAGCGCGAATTTACTGACCGGAAGGTCCGTATTTGAACCCCATCTCTACTTCTCGACTTTTCTTATCTGAACTTGGGCAACCTGACAGTATTCCGGTCCTCGTGCTTTCTTCTGGTGGCATGGTGGTTAGGCACCGTTACAGCTGAAAGGTCCATGAAGCGACGCAATTAACACTGGTTTTTGGCTACTCAATTACCGTTCAGTAGTAAGAATATACGAGCTTGCGTGGGTTGATAGTCACGCTTGTAGACAACTGGAAGTTGAGTGCGTCCGATCAGTCACCAGAATCTACAAAAATTGAAAGAGAGTTTGTGTGCGAAAAACTGTCACGACTATAGAAGCGTTCAAAGCCCTGATGCCTTAGATGACTGGCTGCAATTGTGAGCAAAAATCCATCCAGGCATAGCTTGTTAAAGTTGTTCAAGTGGGCGCAAGGTTTGATCGAGAATGTCGATTGAGTTCCTTATGGCCCGAAGCTGCCTTATTGTTCGAAAGGACGGACCGGAAGTGGCCTGACACCCTAACGTATGTCGGCTTTAAAATCATCTAGTATTTAGGGAAATCCTCATCAATATATCGATATTGGATCGCCACTCATAGGGGCACAGTATCGGTATAAGTGTCCCATATTCACGATAAATGCGCCATGGTTGGATGTTTGGTAATGAATCAGTAAAGAATAATGGGAGAGGAAGGGTCAGAAATCGCCATACCTATATAAATTCTACCGTTCCAAACCACCATCATGGACCTTTCATAAGCAATCCAAGTGACCAAACGGGGCTTAATAAATTAATCCGGGTACCCGATTAACTTGTTGTTTGACGGAAACAGGTGCATCTAGATATGAACGCGGTCGACTGCGTAGACATCCGAGATTTGAGCAGTGCCACCGTTCGGTCTGATATCCAGTGCCTGAGTGAGCCCGGTGGTGCCGCGCCACAGGCAGAACTCCCAGCACTGTGCACAGAAGTGGTGATCTCGTCCCAGTATGAATTCACATCTGATTATGGAGCATTTAGAAGAGAGTTCAGAAGACTGTTCTGATAAGTTCGTCCAACATCCAGATCTGCTAGTCTTTCGATTGCAAGACGACTTTTCAGCACCTTACGTGGTCCTGGAATGCGAAGGGTCAGAATCCAATACGACCGACAGCAAGTTATTGGTCCGCGCCATCGGTAGCTGAATCGTTCAGCTGTAGCCTAGCTGCCATGCCACCCGAAGGTTGGACGAGGGCTGGGATACTGCCAGGTTGCCCAAGCCTAGACTGGGTAAGTCGAGAGGCAGAGGTCGGATTCGAACCACAGACCTTCCAGTCAGTAAATTCACGCTCTAACCACTTCGGCCATCTCGCCCACTCGGTAGCTGATGGTGACGTGATATATTTGAGCTCGTAACCGACATGCCGTTGGAGAACTGCGTGTGGCTAAAGGAATTCAGCTATTTCAGAAGTTGGTACTGTAGAAAAACAGACCGCCGTCAGCACACAGCTCAATCAACCGTTCACCATTGTCTGTACATACGGAATCCATACTGTGCTGACCACCTAATTGAGTCTCCGATGCGCTAAGCATGCCCACTTGTGTATTCATATCGCCGGTAACAACGATATCTGAACATTTACCTCGCCGCAACAGGGCATTCAGGGTGTCGTAAAAACTGCGTACGACGGCGTCAGATTTACACACAACAGGGGAGTAAGCAGACACGACAAAGATACACCGATTAGCTTCCCGCTTGTGAGACTCCTTCACAGACGTTGCCAGATGAACCTCACAGAGGCGACTATCAACAGGTATCCAGTCAAGTAAGGATACTTCCGCCCGGTGACTTAGCACAATACCAACCCCTGCACATCCCGCCGCAGCAGCCTGTGGATCGCCTGAGGTGCGCAGCCAGAAGCGAGTAAAGACTGATGGACCGGTTAGCTCAACCATTGTGCTTGCATCTTGAATTCTTGTTTCTAAGACAGCACACATCAATGCTAAGCGAGTCCAGTGTGAGTGCAAGCTTGCTGTCCCGCTTGCTTCATAGTGAGGACATCGAAAGCGGCTAGATAGCCTAGGCGTCGAGGCTTGAAGATTGATTTAGAGACAGGTGAGGACGTGGTCGTCGGATCACACGCATATGTTGCTTGTAAAACCGTTGCGGGACGAACGAAGTCATCAGTCCTAAGTGCTGGGCCTACAAGGATAGAGGGGGAAATAAGAGAAAGAAGGGTGGCGTCAGCAGTAGCATGGTTTCGCTTGCCCATCCTGTTGTATGCAGTGAGTGAGGCGACCCGGCTGATGGTATCATGAGACAACCGATGTGGCATGCGTTTATTTGTATATATGCAGTTCATGGTTGTACGTGGGCTGGGATGCTGCCAGAGCGCTCACACCTAGACAGGAGGACGATTACGGTCCTCAACCGAAGCCGTTATCTAAATAGCCTAACCGCAAGGCAGCGGTGTTTGGCTGGAAATGCAGATACATTAACATTTTTACGGAACACGTCACCACACATGTTCCAACTCTCAACCTGGAAGACCGGGGCACTTTGTTCGCCATACCTCTAACCACTGACCAATTTGGGATGCGACTCTGCGAGTGTCGCGAAATATAGCTCACACCCCGCACTGAAGCTAAATAGTACACAAACTGACACACCACGGTAAGGTCCAGTCTCGTCGTGACGGAGTCATTCAGATATAACGTCCTTTCGGTGCCTAGCTACCATGCCACCTGAAGGAAGCACGAAGACTAGGATACTGACAAGTTGCCCAAGCCTAGACAGAAGTCGAGATGCATAGGTGGGTTCGAGCCACGGTCGTTCCATTCAATAAATTTGCGCTCTAACAACTGAGCCATCCATAGAATTAACTAGCCATACATGTGCGCTGTAAGCGCACCTTTCGAGTGATACGGACCGTCGGGCCAACTCTCACGTGGGTTTCTACTGTTCAGTTCTTGAACAGGATTTGTAACCATGGGGCAGCTGTAAGTCATACTGGTGGCTTCAAAAATATCCCTTCCTGTTCACCTTCCTGTCCTATTCCTCTGAGTTTCCAGTGGGCACATGGCGTTCAGATGACTGCACATTCGGCTCAGAGCAAACCACATGGGGTGTGCAGAACCATCGGCGTCGCCCAATGTTAGGGGGCGAATCCACCAGGTACACCACCGATATAAGTCATTCTGACCGAGCTTTATCTCTCGAGATTGCCCCACACATTAGGTATCCGGAGGCTACGTAGATTACAAACTTGGATTCGAATTGGCTAGTCCATAATCATCCTGCGAAATAGGGTACCTGGTACAAATGGGCAGTTGAGACAAAACGGGTAAAAACAAAACACACAAACTGTAAACCCATAAAGAGAGGCTCACGGCGGCGAGAAACACAAAGGTCCCATAAGCTTGAATGACGACACTTCACTGGACGAAGTCAGGACTGTCTACTAATTCCTCCCCACCAAATCAGGCGAACAGATGCACTACCTTAATGTTTAGAATGGACAATAACCCAACGCACCAACTTCATCTGGCTCCTCGATGAGCAGAAATGTATTCAGGTCAATTTCTCGCATGGGGCCATTGTACTGAAAAGGAGAGGAACAAAAAGGTACGTGCGTTACATGGATGGATGCAGCTTTAGCAGACAAAAACGAGACGTTCTTAGTATACGGACCAGAATACAGAATCTTGTCCAACTCCCAAAGAAGTTGAAAAATCCAGCCCAAGACTACGTGTTCTTCAATTATTCAAAATACCCAATACTTTCATTTCAATGGAAAACTTATACTGTATGGAAATTACACTAACCATACACACAGGGTTGCTGAAAACTCTTCGACAGCCCACGGCCGGTTGGGGCTCATCAGGTCCTCGAGTTTCTCTCAACCTTATGTTCCACTTGAACCAAATTGCACGATCGCCAAATACACTCGCTGGCACACCAATTTGGATTTTACAGGAGGCCCACCTGAATCCAAGCTGAATCTCTCGTCTGAATATGAATCTCTCTCGACTGTATGTACTGCATGAAGGCAACTTCTGGTTTCAGTTTGAAAGACAGCCAGTAGATTTATAATGTTTTCTTTCAGATTGGACCAACTTAGTTTCCTTCGTCCGTCATTTTCCGAGTAGTGTGGTGTGCAATGTCATCCCTTATCATTAATTTATGACGTAATGACAAACACACCGGTTTATAAGAGGGGGTTAGCTGCAATGTAAACCGGTGAATCGACGCCCACGTTTTCGAAGGCAGTCTGAAATATTTGTAAGCACTACTCTAGCGCTCCAGGTATGGAACATGGTTGGTGACGTTGACAGTTATACAAATTACCTCATTCTCGTCTTGCTCCCGAACACCACTGAATACGACATCACCTTCACCGACTTCTTCATCCACGCCCTCTTTGACCAAGTTCGGATTGAACTCGAAGACCTCACGACCGCTTATCTGGGAAAAGGAGAATTAAACTTTGCCTTGAACAGCATGCGGGTGGAGAGAGAAAACAAACATTTATTGTTTCGCTAGAGTTGACATTGAGGAGACAGTGGTGTACGATGGGTAGAACAAATGGGTAAATCTTACATCCCCCACGCCCTTAAGAGACATCAAGGGATATGAAAGTATCTCTTATAAGCCTTGACACCAGGGATAGAGAAAGCAAAGTAGTGATCGAACAAATGCCAAATTAGAAAAAATGCTGTTATGGGAGTGAAAACACAGGCCATATTCGATGGAGCACATGTTAGCCCACACGTTTTGTAATAAACATATCGTTGGCGGAACGGTACATTAAAATTCCAATGCGATTATTATTTTGCGGACTGGACGGTACAAACTTTAAAGCATATCCTAGAGGGGTGTAATGATCTTAAATCATACATTAAACCAGCGCTACAACGTAAACCCTTGAGGAAGTGGCGCTGGGTATAACTATCAGGGTAGACGAACACAGGATACTGAGAACTACAAACTTGTGATGCATGGGGCCAGGACTGCCGATCGTACACGACTGTACAGTGTAGGTTGGTTATATCTGTCTTGAAATCCCACATCAGTTATCGTACGTTAACCCTTGAGTAATTTTCAGTGCGGCTTTGGTCAGCGTTTGGTTGATCAACCACGAGTTGACTTGTTTCAACCTGTGTCTGTACTCAAGTGAATCTGAGACAGCGGAATTGACTCTACGGAATATTGGTCCCATGAAGAACGAATTCCTCTGAAGTAAGAGTGATTGAAGGATGGATAGCAACCAGTTGAGTGGAGTTGTTGGATAGAGAGCTTTGTTCCTGGGACACCAGACAGAAGCAACGTTCTAATTTCCAGCGCCCTTTTGGCTTAGCTTGTCTGTCCAAAAAGAAACCCTAGGGCTGGGATACTGCAGACTGTTCAAGAATAGACAGCCGAAGTCAAGCGGAAAAAGTTTGGTTCGAACCACGGACCTCTCGGTCAATAAATTAGCGCTCTAACCATTGAGCCACCTCGCTTGTCTGTGTCGAAAGATGAATTGTCAGTCAGCAACCAGATGGTATTCATATCAGAAGCCGAATGGCCCAGGACAGAGACAACCGAAGGAATGAATAATGAATCTGAATTCACAGCTAAGTGGCGACTGGGAGTCACAAACCAGCTGCAAGCCTTGCAACGAGGTAAACTAGGCGGCCGAAGAAACATCGACCGAAGCGAGAAGGAAAGATAAGATTGCTCCCGACAACACAAATAATAGACTTCGAAAGCGGGATCCTTTGCAAAAATCTATAAACCCACAAGATAACAAGGGCTGTCCAAAAGTGACGAAAAACAAACCTAAAGAGAAATTTCGGTCTTGGTGTTGGGTTTTGTTAGAATGAACACTGGTTTAGGAGGATTGCTCCACCAGATAACGACGTCGTATCAACTGGTATTGACACACAAGGGTAAATGCATAAAAGATAGAGGAATGGGACCGCAATGTACTACACTTACCCCGGCTGTGCGACCCAGTTTGAAATCCGCCTCGCGCTTCAATTTCGCAGTTCTTCCTAGCTCAATTTTCTCTGCACGCTAGATGAAACAATAAATTTAAACGGTAAGCAGGGAACCACATTTTCTTACCTTCCGTTTTTTCCATTCCATAAATGTTTTAAACGTGACTTTGGTTTGGTTGAGTCCAAGAGCTTGTCGCTGAAAAAACACAGAAGAAGAGATAAAATCTCAGCGGAATTACAGGCCTTGTCGGACTCACGTGGTAATGTTATGCAGCTGAAACAACTGAGGTCCCTGTTTCGAGAATGGAACCATAGACGGACGATTGGTCCTCTGCTCACTCAGGACGAGGCTGTTGTCTGCATTACAGAACTGTATTACGAAGCTCATAAGTGTTTCAACATACTCGATATACTGTACCTTTACTGCATTCTATCCATCGTATTCTCACCAATGTTAGTCCTTGATTATCTCCCTATTGCGTTGCTGGTCACTCTTTACGAGGAGTGACTCTTTACATGGATTCCGGATATTCTGAGTCAATTCATCCTCCTCACAGCAGCCGCCCTCGTAGGAAAAGTACCCCCAGGCGAAATGAAATCACAGGGAACTGTGACAGAAACATACATACGTAACTTCGTCCGTAAATTTGTGAAGGCTACTGGCTGATGTCTCAAACTACAGGTGAGGCATCTTGCATGATTGACACTGCGTTTATTAACGTCTTTACAACTGTGCATTTGTTATGGGATTTTAAGTATGGCTGATTGGAAATAGTTCAATTTCCCACACCAAATGTCTACCCTCCACTGCGTAATAGAAGCAACTGTATCGTGGACATTGGGGCGAGGAGAAATACCAACTACAGTGTTCCCTCGCCCAAAAAGCGGTCCCCTCTGAAGTGCCTCCCCTTGATACCTGTTAGGTGGTCACTGCATTTCTACGTGCACACCCAGCAATAACAACCCAAACCAAAGGTGGTCACTTTCTACGTGCACACCCAGCAATAACAACCCAAACCAACCTCACGTGTGGCACCTTTTTGAAGGGGAAATAATTCCATACATACCTTATCGACCCACTTGGAAACCTCAGGCGGACTTTGGAGCTGTACGTTAGGGCGAAGAGTGTCGCTAACCATAGGTTCACTTGAATATCATTGGAACACCACTTCAGACCCGTCAAACACCAGCTGAATAAACTAAGAACACACTGTCGGAGCTAAGCAATTGGTGCTTTTATTGCCAACGAGCAGAAGCAGTGCAGGACAGACGCATCCAGCTAATCCACGAAATGAGATGTGAACTACCCAAACCCACGACCATGTTAAAGGCACTCAAGAAAGGATGCACCCACCAGCAAGAGAACCTAGTTGGCAGAAATTACCGTCGGGTCACAGAAACACGTGAATATTGGTCTGATATCTGAACACCTCTCTATAAAATCATTCATCATACCAGGAAACCAATGTCCACCGGCTCCTACAAAGAATTCACCCAATTACCAGAAAACCAGTGTTCAGAGAGCCAAATACACAATCCGATATACATGTTACAAGAGTATGATCTGATTTCCGACACCAGCAAACTTAGCCCTTATTCAGTCAGCCACCATATTGAAAGCTGAAATAACTTCACTCATCCACAGCAAATGCAGCTCACCAAAGCGAACAGATCTTTGTTTCCCATGTAACGCTAACTAGAATCAATAATCCGTATTAGATAAGCCGTGCCAAGTTTCCATATTTATACCCATTCCTCTAAGCGCCACCCAAAGACACGTTTGTGCACTTTCGTAAACCATTGGAGAGTGCACGTATAACAGTGACAGAGCTTGCCATACAAGGTTGGTCAATGGTAGCCTGAATAACAGTGTCCTGGTCCTCAACGTTGGGAGCTGGAACCTGGGTAGCAACTTTCTCCTTAAAAATCTAGGCCGCTCCGACAGCCTTGCGTCACGCAGCTGCCTTGCGGCTAGGCTTTTTAAAAATAAACCCAATGACCCTAATAGCTCACCTATTTAAGTATGGGCGCCCTCGCAGTATCCCATCCCACATGCAGCCATGAATTGCACACCCCAAATAATCCAACATCAAATTGTCCATCGCGTGGTACCAACAACCGAATCACCCCACTTGCTACATACAGCAGGAGTGACGAAATCATTCGCCGTCCATGGCCGTTGGCTTCAATATTTCCAGTTGGTTCAGCCGCCACGACCACAAATACTTCGAAAGCATCTCTCAACCCCCGAAGCTGAGCTCATCTGACAGCCTTTGATGTTCGCACTCCAAAACAAGCTGAACAACAGACTGTTCTTGCACGTGCGCTGGACCCACTTTCCATTAATACGTGCTGTTTCTCCAAAACGGGGATTAAAGACCCAAGCCCGGTTGTTAAACTGAGCTCCCATTAGTTTCCGCTTGCTTCTGATTGCGCACCTTGGGAGGTCCAGAAGCCGCCGATGCTGGCACTTATTGGGTTGGAGTTGCCCTAAACCATCAAGCTGAAGAATCTCTTTCTGAAAGATCGACCGCAGGTAGTCGCCTCTGTGCGGCCTCTTTGGCGACGTTTGTGAAAGCATCCGGTAAACGTGCCGATAATTTCTGCCTGTTCATCGTCTGTTCGCGCCCCGACCAACTGTAGTTCTGATATACTCACAGACTGCTTTGACGTCACCTTAAGACCCTCGTCGCAGCGGGTGAAGTGCTCAGACAGTATTGTCGTTTTCATGGATATGAATGTGCAAGTCGGCAGACTTGACGCTGTTGAGGCTCATTTTGGATGGTCGTCTGAAACCGGAATATAAACTCAAGGATAAAGGCGAACGCCCGCTGTAGTTAAATGCTGACCGCAGATTACTGTACAGGACTGAATTCCGAAAGAAACACAGCCGCTTAGATAAATGGCGCGCCCCTCATCAGGCGAGCCAACCGCCAACACAGATAGACCACATGGATATTAGGCATAAGTGGTTCGAGTCGATTACCGACGGTCGCTCGTTCTGGAGCGCCTATGCGGATTCGGATCACGCGCTTGTTTGATGCTGCTTCTCGTTGCGCTTTTCAGAGCTGCACAAAATGAGTACATCTCATCTGGCCGTTAAAAAGCTCTTGGATATCTATGTGAAACAGGTCTACCGGAAACCGGCCTTCATAAAACACGTCTTCTGATGTTGAATCTTACTGCAAAGTACTGTCTGCAACCTTGAGAAACGCTTGGCGCTCCGTTTGTGGAATGGTGCAACCAACTAGATCTAGGCGTTCATCATCATCATCATCATCATCATCATCATCATCATCATCACCATCATCATCATAAACAACACCGTCGGTAGAATGAAATCGATGTTTCACACTGATGCTCCGCTATCGCATCTAGGTATTGGGTCTCGAGCAATACTAAGGTTGCTCGAAGCACGGGCGCGTATTCCTTCTGGTTGAGAGCACAATATGGCTAGTTGAACTGTCCGACTTCAGGTGAAAAAGAGCATTTGCGCGGACCAAGTAGCCTGGTTGGGTTCAGAATGCTGAAGAGGTGAAGGAGGCCAAATACCCTGGCAATGTGCATAAAGTGCCCCAGTGAAACGAGCCTAGTAAGTGACACTGGAGGTTGTGGAACAATATACGTATCTTGGAAGTTGCATTAGCTCTGACACTGGTGTAACAGACGAAGTGAACGCATGGATATCAAAAGTCAGATTTGTGTTTGCCAATTAGCGCAACTAGCGTGAAAAAGGCGACCCACCGTGCCTGTGTTGCACTACGGTGCAGCTACATTGTTGTGCGCCTGCGGGACATAGCCACTGCGGACAGATGATATCAGGCTTCTTCCAAGTCTTTGACTACCGATGTCTGAATACCAAAGCTGAAATCGACTGGCACAAGCGAATTTGCAATGAGGTGATCAATAGACGGGTCTTCACTGAACCAGAGCGTGCTTCCCTTAATGGATGCATCAAGCATTGCAAGCCAATCTGGCTGGGTCATGTGTTACGCATATCGAGTCACCACCTACCGAGTTGAATACTGTTTCCGCCCCTAATTCCGAGTGACAGAAACCTACATGTGGGCACAATTTGATATGAAGAAGGGAATGGAGGATGTTACGACAGTTTTGGATGTCGTTGAAGCTGTTCGATTTCCAGGATTGGGCCCCACAACCCTCCTAGCGCTTGGCTGGAGACACTGAGTGATGTGGTGGCTAACCGGTGTCAGTGTAATTTCTGGTGTCAGTTTCTATCCGGATTATCTGACTGAGTGCTGGAGGCATAGGCAACTCGGATGTTTATGGTACCCTAGCCATCATCCTTCTAGCATTCATCCTTCTTCTTCTTCTTCCAATTATAGGACTTTATTCAAACACAATGGCATCGTTGTATGGTAGTGAAGCACCAGTGTTTCCCTCTGATGTTGCTGGCAATAATGATGATCGTGAGAAGGGTATGCATGGATTAACTAACTAACCCACACAAGCAACAGGCTTTCTCCCTACCCTTCTTGCTCCTCGTAGTTTTGCTTGGAAATTTGTAGATGGGTCATGATAATTTCTCACAGCCGTGATCACATAATGACTATTTCGGGTAGCAGAGCCACCTAACGTTTGATTTTGGAGGATAGATGTCTTTTATGGCACATGCACTGCGTTCTGGAAGGGCTTTGCTCCTCAAAGCCCATCCCATGAAAGTTTGTTGTTGGCAGAAATCACTTCGTCAACGAAACTTGTCACAAGTTTGGGACATCGCT